TATGTTACCAGAGCTTCCTGGTAAAGTAGAGGGTCAGTGAAAAAAGGGAAGACCCTTGACAAGATGGATTGACACAGTGGCTGCAGTGAAGGACTCTAACATAGCGAGGGCTGTGAGGCTGGTGCAGAAACGGGCAGTGTTTCATTCTGTTGTTCATAAGGTCAGTATGAATGGGAGCCAACTCAACGGCACCTAACAAAAACAGCAAATCTTTGCGGAAGTAGATTGCTCTTATCTCCCTTCTGAGGAGCATGTGATGGGTTTGAACCTCCAACCTTTAAATCCCTTAGGCACTCCACCACCAGAGTTCTCTCTCTCTCTCTGTATGTATGTGCATAACTGCTAAGCCACTGAGAATCATGGCTCAACCAAGTTGATGCACAACCTTAACTGGAATGTACAGGCGATTCTTTACTGTCCCCTCCCAAAGTGGAAGAGTCATGACCTCCAGGACAGAGCTCTGTCTCGAGCCTCAGCTCAAGTGCATGGGCCCTGACTAACCTTCCCTGAATAAGGATGTGGGAAGTGAGACACCAGGAGAATGGGGCTGAGATTTTCTTTTGTGGAGCCAGAGAGTAGCCTTGGTGCTTAATGCCACACCCAGGAACATAGATGCTTCTCTGGTTTTCTGAAGCAAAACCGTCCCTTAGCTCATTATAAGCAAGCCTGAATGGCTAGCTCAGAAAAGCACACGACTAGGTCTGATCCACACGACTGTTATTGCTATTAGGTGCCATTGAGATGACTCTGACTCATAGCAACCATATGTACAAGAGAATGACACCCTGCCTGGTCATGCACTGTCTTTTTAATTCTTGCTATACCGATCCACGTGACTAGCCATTGGCAAATCCAAAGCCAGCACACACTCTACACGGTCCCATGTGAGCCACATGCTATAAGCCAAACCCAAGAACATTTTTTACTTTATTGAGTTGCCTAGAAATTCAAGAATCTGAAAATTGTGTTTGAAATACACACACTTTAGTATCCAATATCATCAGCCAAACAGAAGACGCAGATGGAGACAGCTCCAGCCCCCACTTACTGAGGGTGCTTCTTTGGGAAGGCACGTGATAGTGTAGAAGTTCGAATTCCCACTGTCAACGGAAAGGGTGAAACTGGGCATGTGTGTGAAGAATGGAACAGCCCTGACCATCTGCTCACTGTGCCCAATTGTATCCAGGTGGACTCTGCCTCTATTTGCCTGCCTTTTCATCAGTTGATGGGACACATCACCATGGGGCCTGGCAGCAAGATAAAGCAAAAGTGCTTATCTACAAGGGAAGAGAAGGCCACCTGACCTGTTTCCTCTCCCATCTGATGAGAAAGAGGCTGGCTCCATTGTCTGAGTCTTTACCAAGCAGAGCAGAAATAATACCCAGTAAACAAGAGACCCACCACCTGCCTGCCTGTCCTACTGTGTTGGCTTGTGTGTCCCTGTGATGTGGGAAGTTATGCCACAAGTATCTCAAGCATCACCAGGGCCACCCATGGTGGTCAAGTTTCACTGCAGCTTCCAGACCAAGGGCTGGTGATCTGCTTCCCAAAACCACGCAGAACACAACCTACAGAAAACCCACGGACCACAACAGAATATTGTCCACTACGGTGCTGGAAGGAGAGCCCCCTAGGACGGAAGGCACTCAGAATGCACAGTGGCCACCAGAGTGGAATTCTAAGGATGCAATTCCAATGATGATGAAGATAGGCAAAGCCTGGCAGTGTTTAGTTTTGGTGTCCGTGGGGTCTCCAGGAGTCAGCTGACTTGACAGCATGTGACAACAACAACAGACAGGACATGAGCAGTCGACCCACTGGGGTCGGATTAACCAATTAAGATTCAACTCAGGAGCAGCTGTCCTATGGCAGAAGTGTGTCCTGCTGACTTCAGAAGTTCAAATATGTGCTTTGTTTTTCTTTAATGAAAATTCTTTTTATCTATCTATTTATTTATTTATTTTGAAATCACTGAAGAGTCGCAAGCAGTTATGAGAAACAACAAAGAAAGACCCTGGGATCTCTGACCTGTCTCCCCCAATGGCAGCATCTTGTGAGACCATAGCACAGTATCCCAACCAGGATATCAACATTGACGCCACCCAATGAATAAATACTGTTTTGAAAAAGTCAATTTAACCCTTTGAGAGAGTAGCAAATCCATAAAACTGCTTCAGGCTGGACAGTCTTAAAATGACATGTTGTATGATTGTGAACAGACCTTTTACCAGGCTGAGGGCAGGACTTCTGGGTCCTGCGAATGACCAGAGCCCTTTCTCATGGACGGCACCTCCCGTGGAGAAGCAGCAGCCTTGCGTTCTGCTTCAGTTTAGAGTTCCCCAAAATTAAGATGACAGAGTGTGCTGCGGGGTACATCCCACCCAGAGAGGTGCAGAGCAGGACTAAGTTCTCCATCTGGAAGATCTGAGAAGAGAACAGGGCACCAACCATGCAGTGGCTGAGGTACAGGATGAGGAAAGACAGGATGGACAAGAGGGCGCTGAGAGGGGCACTCCTGCCCGCATCCCCGGTGCTCGCCACCATGCGCCTCATCTGCCTGGTGTGTCTCGCCAGGGAGAAAACCAACAACAGGACAGCAGCAAGGAATATAAGAAATGGCAGTGAGAGCGCAAAGACCAAAACATATTGAACAGCAGACACTGCTTCGCTGTGGGTGGTGGCATTCTTTGAGAAATACTGCAGCAATATTTTTTCAGGAACCAGCCACATGTATTTGCTGTAGATAACTGAAATGATAGATGAATAGAATAGGGATGCCAGGATGAGCCAAGGAATCAGCCTGGAAATCCTCCTCTTCAGCCAGAAGAAGAGTTGGTGAGCCACGTTGGCGATCCTGACGCAGTAGAAGACACCCAGCCATGTAGCGAACCAGAGCCCCGACTCATTTACAAACATGGCAATGGCAAAGTATTCACTTAATGAGGGAAGTTCCGCCAAGGAGAGGAAGATCAGTGTGACATAGAAGAGCATCAGCTGCAGACAGACCCGAGAAACGCTCAGGCAGGAGAGAAGGAGACCCAGGGAGGTCCACGTTCTTGTCTTGATTAAGTCCATGCCGCTCCCCAGCAAAATGATGCC